TTATTGTGATGTACAGACTTTACCTAAGGCTTTGCTTTTGGTTTCCACACTACCCACACTATCCTCATCACTAAACACAACCCCAGAGTCCACCAGGACCAGTCTATAATTGTCCATGAGTTTCTGAGCAGCAGCTTCATCATCAGCCAGAAAGAAAGCAAGGGCTTTTGTCCTGAGATGTTTGGACAGTTGTCCAGGGGACACCAGGGTGTCCCAAACCCCATCCTCAGCCCCATCTTGCTTTTTCCTCTTGGCCTTCAGGGCAGTGGGGGAAGGGCTGGGTTTCAGGTCTATGGGTGTGTCCAGGAAGATCACCACATGCACTGGCCTCTCCTCCACTGCTGGCTTGGTGTCCATGTCATCCTCATCCTTGATGGACCTGGTGGCCACTGGCCCTGAGGGTGCCACTGTCACATCTTGACAAGTGTGTGGCCAATTCATTAAAACACAAAGACTGCAGTGGGGTGCTGAACTGTACCTGAGCTTCCCTTGGCTTCTCCAACTTTCCCACCTTTTCTCATGCTCCCAAGAGAACACAGAAGGTGTTAAAATTTCACAGGAAAAGATAATGAAATCAGCTGATTAGTGTTTTTCAGACAGGAATTTACCAAGACCAAGGAAGGTTCACAGAGCATAAGCCCTCATTTATTGACATCAGGCAGAGTTCATGGCTTCACAAGCTTTCCTGACACTCTGCAATAAAATAAAGTTTGAGCAAAATAAATGTAATGGCCTCATCTCAGTTGATGGTCACACTCACTGGAATGGTGAGGTCACACAAGCAGAACTGCCTGAGTAAGTACAGCTCCCTGGGAATGCAACAAGCAGTGGTGTCCACATGGTTCCTTGAGAAGTACCATGATGAGTTGGGAGTGGTGTTCCTGATGACCTCAAATCTGTGGGCCCCTGGGTGCACCTGGACCATGAGTGCAGAATAGTGCTGGGACTTGGTGGCCCACAAGACCCCAGACACCCTCCAAGGCACACACATGTCCAGGTAGTACAAGGTCTTGGTCTGCACTTGGAACTTCTCAAAGGCCTTCATTTCTTGGTGGACCAGACTGTTGATGGCCTGTACAGCTGACTTGGCCAGGTCTGTGACACTATCTGGGTCTATGGGATAGTGTGGTGAGCAGGAGCAGAGTTCCTGTGGGATTCCTAGACTAGGGCAGTCCCAGGATTTGAAATTAAAGTCCTGCATCAAGTTCCTACCACCTGTTGGGAATGGTTGGTGAGTCCTGAAGTCCAGGTCCTTGAAGTGGAGGAGTGAGTCTATGGTTGCATGGATGTCCAAGGGTGTGGTTAAGGCTGAAGAACTGGCAGCCAAGTTGTGTGCAACCCCTGGGGTTTTTCTCACAGCCTCAGGAAACCTGCAACAGGGTATTGAATGAATGAACAGAAAACTTTATTTGCCGCTTTTCAGCGTTCACAACGTACAACCAAAACTCCTGCATCCAACCCCCCTCCCCACCCAACCCAACTCCCCCAAAATACATTTAATCACTTCAAAGCATAAAACAATAAACAGGGTATTTTTTTTCTGTATTGTCCTCAAGACAGTGATACTGTACCTAAAACCCCCCACAAACAACTTCATCCTCAAGAGTACTCAAGGTATATCTTTTATTGCACAGCAATGTCAGGGTATTTTTGTATTTTGGGACACTTCAAAACCAAAGCCAGGTCTAAGCAATGAAATTAAAATGAAAACTTGATGCTAATACTGTAATAATTCATGAGACTTCTTGAAATTCTGTTGACTTAGGGCCAAACAAATGTTTTTGTTGGATATTCAAATAAATTAACCTTGAAAGATTTTTTATTTTTTGTAAATGTGCTGAGCATATTATCAAAAATCTGCTTTTTTTTAGACTCAAAAAGGACCCATGAGTTAAATTTTCTAGTATTTTAATTTGCACAGAAGGACAATCTTTCAAAAGCACATGATTAAAATACACAAATAACAGAGGGAAGTTCTAACTGCAGTATAAAAATGACTAAAACTAAAAGCACTTCAGTGGCTTCAGTCAGTGTTTTGAATACAGTACCAAGAAGTCTTTGAAGATGACCAGCAAATTGTGCAATGTGATTTGAATGTGGTTTATTTTTCAAATTCAAAACAATGTATAGTACATTATAAGTAAAGTTTACTTTACCTAATGTACAACAGTGGATTGTTTGCCTCAAGCCTCTCTTGCAGAACCCTGGTCTCCTCTTGCCTGTACCCAATGTCTGACATAACAGCCAAGACTGTGTCATCCCATGAGTTGCCCATGAAATTTGTCTTCAAAAACTCTGCCAAGCCATCATCAGAGTTCCCCTGCAGCACCACAACAAAAAACTTTGGCTTATCCTGGTAAATCCTCCAGAGATCCCTTGTGTACTCCAGCACAACTGACTGAGCTGTTGAGTTGTTTATGCAGACCATGTTTTGGGGTTGATTGTGGTGCAAAAATTTGCGGGCCAATTGCAGGGGCCTGGAGTAATGATCTGCTGGGTGTTTCCTGAAACCCCTCTCATGACCTCTGTGGGGACTGTCTCCTGGAAGGTCATCCAACAGAGCTGTCACATAGCCAAACCTCTCAAATTTTCTGAATAATAATGGGTACAAGTCATCAGTGTACAGCTTCATCAGGGGCTGGCTTACTACTGGATGTGCTGCCCTCTGTCCTATAATCAAATCAAGAAATGAAATGAAATTCACAATTCAATTGATACAATACACTCATAACTTCTGATTATTCAAATTTTGCTATAAATTGAAATATTCATTAAAAGATGGTCAGCTGTTTTAAAAGGAAAAGTCAAACTCATAATTTAGATTTACAAAAACTAAAATGACAAACATATTTAGCATTAAATTAAAAGTCACATGGATTTATGCTTTATTGAAACCTAAATTAAACTTGTAAGTCCTTGTAGTTTTTTCAAGTTGTCATAAGTTCAGATTTCAGTACAAAAAAATGAAAAACTTTGAAGAGTTTTGGTAGTAAAAAGTACATCTGTACCCTTGGGTTTATACTTTGTGTCCCCTAGATTTTCGTTAAAATAAGTATAAACACTTGAGAAAATCTCAAAAAATAATTTAACTTTTCTAATTTTAACTGTAAGAATTTTCATCATAAAATTGTCTAAATTTTCAAAACATCTCAGCACACATATTGCTGCAAAATGTTTAAAATTGAAAGAATATTACAAAAATTACAATCAGCTAAACTAAAAAAAGCAGAATTAGTTGAATAAGGACGTCGTGTAACGTGTAGGGTAAGGTAGTTTGTAGCATAGGGTAGGTTGTAGTGTAGGGTTGGGTAGGTTGTAGTTTAGGGTATGGTACTTTTTAGTTATACAATTTCATTAATTTTACCAACCATTGCCTGCTTGTTACTAAGAAAAGAAAAGATTTCACTGTGGACGCTCTACTACTAGTTCATATTTGACTTGAGGTAATGTTAATTTCATTTTTTATCTTTTTTAATTTTCAACTAATTGTTTTATAGTATTTGAAAATACTGTAAAACTGAAATATTCTGTCCTGCTGGACTGACTTAATTTTTTTTTTTAGGAATCCACAGTATGTGCCCAGGACACTAACCAGTGAAGACAGGCAAGAAATTCTCCATAGCAGTGTGTCCAATGGCATTGTAACCCTTGAAATAAGTGCCTTTTAATTGTTGGCACACCTTGTGGGTCTTGGGGAAATACCTGATGAACCTGTTGGAAGATGTCCTTTGCAGCACCAGAATGAACACATTTGTCTGCAGAGCAGATTCAGGTAACCACTGCCAACCCCTGAACTTGAGAAGTCTCTCTGGCAATTTTCTGGCAATGGGCAACACTGTGTCAACCCTGGAAGAGAAAGGGTACAAGAATTCAATGAATGTGTTTGTTGCCCCCCAGGGTGTTGAAAAAAACTCACATGAACCCAGTGTTGAAGTCTACACACTGAGCCTGAACAAAGTCTGATAACCTTGGGGTGAACTTTGCCCTGGTCCAGGTTTTCCCACTGTTGATGATGGCATAGTCCCCAGCCCAGTAAATCTCTTCATGAAAACCTTCAGTAAATAAAAATGGCAAAATCTCACACAGGAAAACATTGATGAGTACCTGAAAAGTGGCAAGCAGAATGAGGATTCCCCATGGTGACTTCCACAGAGCCATTGGCAACCCTGACATGAGTAGTAATCTTTGAACAAATGCCCAAATCTGGTTTCAACTGAGACAAGTTTGCTACACTGGGGTGGGAAGGGTCTAGTGACACTGGTTGGCAACCTTGTGGAGGTTTCACATGAATTGGAGATGGTTGTTGATGATGAGGAAGATCTTTGAAGGTCATTAGGACCAACATGGACACCAGAAACAATCCCAAGATGGACCAGAGCAGGGCTTTATTGCTTGGGAGCATGATTCTGACCACTTGTGTGAGACCACAGAAAGTTTGCAGCTTTCTCAATTTTTCCCACCCCTTTTCCTACTTTTTGAGTTTACCAAACTTTTTCCTTTGTCTACTTTCCCACCCAACTTCAGAGTTTTTTTTTTTTCTCCTTTTTCTTTGTATATTGGTCATGATGGAGAAGCAGTGGAGGATGAGTGGAGGGTCTTCCAGGTGCAAACCAAGTGTACCAACTGTGGACTCACAGTCCATTTTGGACCATTTCAAGTGCAGCAGCTGCAAATTGATCATGTTGCCACCTTTGCCCCAGTGCAAGAGGGGACATCTGGTGTGTCTGGACTGCAGACACAAGTCTGGGGCTTGTCCAGCCTGCCAAGGCCCACTGAGTGGTGAAAGAAACATGGCCATGGAACTAGTGGCTGAGTCTGTGGCATTTCCTTGCAAGTACCCAGGTTGTGGAGAGTTTGTCCAGTTGGGATGCAAGAAGAAACATGAGGATGGTTGCAGTTTCCAGCCCTTGGTGTGTCCTGTGTGCTGTGTGGGGGTGACTGGACTGAGTCATGGGCTGTTTGAGCACATGGATGAGTGTCATCCTAAGAGACTGAGGATGAAGAACCCCTTTAGGATTTGTTTGCAGATGCAGACCCTGAGGGAGCTGACCAGGAAGAACAGGGATTTCAGAGACTCCATTGCACTTCAGGTGGACCTCAAGGCTTTCATATTCACCTCACATTATCTGAGGTACTTCCTATATATGGACATATCAATCAATACCTTCCAAATAATGGATTCAGAAATTATTCAATATTAGTCTTTGCTGCATTTTAATTTTTTTAGTTGTGATGAATATCCCAAATTTTAGTGATAATATTGCACTTCATATTTTACTTACTTCTGTGTAAATTTTTGCTCATCATGAGATATTATAGATTTTGTCACATCCATCACAGTACTTATTTGCTACACATTGCTATAATTTTCATGGAGTTCTCCTGCTGCTAAATATTCTAAATGATTGATACATTTTATTAAAAAACCATGTCTGAGATTCAAAAAAGAAACTGTGTTGCAATGGAAAACATTGGTTTTGTCTTGAATTTATTTTTGTCATACTGAAATGTTGATTGTTGAGGAAAAAGTTGATTTTGTCACTTCTGAAAATTGAAGTAAATCTCAGCACTTGAATAAAATTTTTATTGAGTTTTTTCAGACCCTTAATATTGATTGAGGAAATCTAGAACCCAAAGAAAATTCATTTAAATTCAAATCAAGGAACTGGATAAATTCTTATTTGAATAACCAACCCTTGATATTTAATCTACAGTTCATCCAATGAATGGGCCTTTATTGTGCAACAGTTTGAGCCACAAGTGACAGCAGACCATGACTGGATTTATGAGTTGCATTTGGCCAAACCTGAGGGTTCAAAACTCACATTTTCACACTCTGTTATGCCTTGGATGATGGTCAACAATTTGTCCACTTTAACAAAGCAAGGATGCTTGAGAATAAGCAGTGAATACTTTTTTGAATCCTACTCTGGAGGTGTCTTGATTGTGCATGTCAAGAAAAAGTGACACCTAGTGGTTGCACAAATGAAATGAGTTTTATACTTTTTGTATTTGTTAAGACAGATGTCGCTAGCAACATGATCTGTGAAATCTCTGAGAACCAGGTCATGCATGTTTTTCCACCATCAGGTACCTGGCCTATTTCCCTGGGGAACCAAACCCCCCTCAGGGAACCTGTGAAGCCCTGAGGCATGTTTTTTTTGTGCAGTTCTGTGAAATCTCTGAGAACCAGGTCATGCATGTTTTTCCACCATCAGGTACCTGGCCTATTTCCCTGGGGAACCAAACCCCCCCCAGGGAACCTGTGAAGCCCTGAGGCATGTTTTTTTTGTGCAGGCAGACTGACCTGAATATTTGGCTCAGCATCTGGGGCAGGTTGCCAAATGCTTTCAAGATTTTTGCACACAGTTTTTGGCAGTAATGAGTTGTTTGCAGCATGAGGAATTCAAGGAATACATGAATGAAAATGAGCAAAAGGCCTGATGACTGAGCAGTTTTTTTTGTTCTCTCCCCCATTCCCCTGAGGCAGAAGTAATCAGGGCACCCCCTGGAGTGAAAGGACCCCAAATCTGGTTTTGCGCAACACCAGAATTCCTTTGGGTTTTTGAGGGGGGAAATGCTGGGTGACATTTGGGTTGGGGTGGTGGAAAACACCAGCATTCCCTTCCCAGGTCCCACACCCCCAAAAGTTCAGCCAAAAAGTGGATGAAAAAAATAAACTGTTTGTTGGGTTGAATTCCCAGAAAAACACCCCTGTGAACCAATTCCTTGCAACTTGGGGCCTAGTCATGCAAGTATAAGCCAAGAATTTTCTGAAACAACTAAGCTGCAAACCAGGTCTGACTCACAGGGTGTATGATGTTCTTTTGGGAAAAACAACTCACAATACAGTAAATATATTTAAATTATTGAAGAAACCTTTGAAATAAATCCTGGTTAAATTCTTACAAAATGCATTGCTTCCATAACATGTTGGTATTTATTTAATCCAAAAACTCATGTACTGCATTTGATTTCATTGCAGAAATCCTTCACGACTATTGCCTCCATATTGAGAACAATCAAAAACATTCTGAGTTGGAATGGTCAAGACCAAATGATTTGACATAAACATTGTATAAGTAGGTTTATTAGGGAAATTTTTAAAAATGTGATTAAATAGTACAGTATACATTTAATGTTGATTTTTCCCTCAAATTTCTAGAAAATATTAAATTAAAATGCCCCAAGTTTTGACAAATGTCCTCGTTACACCACACAATAATATACACTCCTTATAACATCTCAATTCATCCTTAAATTACCTCAAGAAATGAAGAAATGGTTTCTATAACATAGAAATTTTCTTCAGAACATACTCAATTCATTGTGCCTTCCAATTCCTTGCAACTTGGGGCCTAGTCATGCAAGTATAAGCCAAGAATTTTCTGAAACAACTAAGCTGCAAACCAGGTCTGACTCACAGGGTGTATGATGTTCTTTTGGGAAAAACAACTCACAATGCAGTAAATACATTTAAATTATTGAAAAAAACCTTTGAAATAAATCCTGTGTAAATTCTTTCAAAATGCATTGCTTCCATAACATGTTGGTATTTTTTATTCCAAAAACTCATGTACAGCATTTGATTTCAATGCAGAAATCCTTCACAACTATTGTCTCCATTTTGAGAACAGCCAAAAAACATTCTGAGTTGGAATGGTCAAGACCAAATGATTTGACATAAACATTGTATATGTAGGTTTATTGGGGAAATTTTTAAAAATTTGATTAAATTTGATTGTATACATTTAATGTTGATTTTTCCCTCAAATTTCTAGAAAATATTAAATTAAAATGCCCCAAGTTTTGACAAATGTCCTCGTTACACCACACAATAATATACACTCCTTATAACATCTCAATTCATCCTTAAATTACCTCAAGAAATGAAGAAATGGTTTCTATAACATAGAAATTTTCTTCAGAACATACTCAATTCATTGTGCCTCAGCAGTAAATAATTGTACTGCTAGACCACCCATGAAATTATAAGCTTTTCACCTTTTAATTCATCCTTATTTGCTTTTAAAATTAGGACTTCCACTAACTTATTTGTCTCATTCTTTCATCAAATTTTCACCAAATATCACATCAATCTACCCAAAGAGTTTACCCCAAGTAAAGGCTTCCCCAGCACTAAAAAAATCCAAATACTGTGGATCCTTAGAAAAATAATTATGCCCAGCAGTAGACAATGTTACTGCTACACCACACACAAAACTACAGACTCTTAACTTTTCAATTAATTCCTGAATCACCTCAAGGAGAAAAGAAAATGTTTCCCCAACACTGAAATGTTCCTAAAACATACTCAAAATATCAATCTGCCCAAAGATTAGACAATTGTACTACTACACAATGCAATAAATTAAGCCCCACCCCCATCCCTCAACTTCTCAAACCCTTCATAATTTACCACAAAAAGTAAAGAAAAGGCTTCCCTAACACACAAATGTTCCTCAATACCTCCTCAAAAAACCATTTCATCCCAAGAGTAGAAATTTGCCCTGCTACACCAAACAGTAAACTACACCCCCTCAGCTTGTCAATCCCTTTCTGAATTACACTACCTTTAAAAACTTGATTCACTTTCCTCTTCTGAAAAAAAAGTAAAGAAAACACTTCCCCAACACACTGAAGGTTTCCTTTAAAAAATATCATTCCGCCCAAGAGTACACCCTTGTCCTGCTACACCCCAGTGAGGGAAATACGGTATGGGAGGAAAGGGATAGAGGCAGATAATCCCCCCAGCATAACCAGTCCACAGGCCCCCCAACAGAGGGAAGGACGTTAAGGTCAAGGCTGACTGCGGCGCATCCTGTGGAAGAAACTATGCCTTCCAACATTTATATAGTTTCTGCTTCCCTGGGCCAGCTCATATACTGCAGTTGTACTGTATTCTGTTTAACCGTCCGCACGCGCAGACTTGATGGGTTTTTGTGTGTGTGTGTGTGTAGAGAACAGAATAAATGCTGAACTTCTTTCATGCTTAATTTTTGATTCATTGGGTGGTAACACTTTGAGAATTAATTTTTGCCTGTCTTCCTATAAACCCTGCAAGAAAAGAAAAAAAAATCTATGAAAATATGTTCTCTTCAAGTTAAAAGAATAATCATGAAAACATCATAGAGGGGACATTTTTGCAGATATACAGTATGTGCAGTACCATATTTATGTAGGCCCAAGTTTAGAATACAGTATAGCAGATATGCCCTGGGTTCTGTGCTGATTCTCCAAAAAAATAATTCTCGGTATACAGTACAGAGAAAACATGAATACTGTACAGTACTCTGATGCCCACCAGGTAGGGAACAAAATATGTATGGGTTATTACATAAGTTCTGAGAATCCCTGCTGTGCCTCTGATTGATGATGGAATTAAATACTGCATAAGGAATACACTTTTTTTCAACTTGTGCTTCTTTTCCTGGACATGTTTTAAATTCTTCTCTCACAGGTTCAAATTATGAAAAGACATAAAATTGTGACAAAAATGTAAAGGGATTTTTATGTAACACTGAAGGTCACTGAGTTTCACAAAGAAGTACTGTATAAAGATAGAGAGAGATTTTGAAACTACAGCCTGAGGTATGAAGGTACACACTGAAATTTTAATTAAGCTCAAATATACAGTAAGTGAATTCACTTGAAAGCCCAAGTTTAAAAAAATTCATCAGTTTTCAAAAAGCAATTTGTTGGACTGCTAAAGTTCCTTTCCCAAGTCCTGGGGTAAGTAAGTAAGGGAGATTCAAATGCCAGAAAACCAACACTTTAAAAAAGTATTGTATTGTACCAGTGTGTCCACTGTTTAAGAGGATGATATGCAGGAAACTGTGCATCAAATTGGGAGTGAACTTGAAACTTTTTGAAAGTTGGAAATGAAAGCTAATCGGTCTAACAGACGGTTTGCTCATGTTAGATCGTAAGTTAAACATGAAAGCCATGCGCGCGCTTGCGGACATATTGGCATCACCGGACCCTCCTGCGCGCACACACACGCACACAGGGCTTTTCCCCCTCCTTAAAGACTAGAGGAGTAGAGGTTCTCCCTGCTCTGATTAATTCCGCATCATCCCAAGTCCCGCGTATTCCGTACGTACAGTACGTAATCATGGCGTCTTCCATGCGAACCCCTCTTGTGGATTGTTTTTTTCTTCTTTTTCCTCTGTCCCTCTTTCTCCTTGCGTCCTTCTTTCCTCTCTCTCGCCCGCCAGGAAGGGTCGGTTGGTGGCGGCTTCCTTGGCATCCAGGCGTGGCCTGTTCCCGGGCGAGCTGGTTCAATGTTCAGCTCTGGGGCGAGCCACAGAGCCCAGGTGCTTGTGTGACGAGTGTTGGGGGGGGGGGGAGAGGAGAAGAACGCGGCCAGAAGGGCTCTGTGACAGGGTCGGCCGGCGCAGGCCGCAAGAACATCAGTTCGCCTGCGCGACCCGTCGAAGAAGGTCGCTTGCGAGTTATGTTCACGTGATAGACAGGTAAAGGAAATTCCTTCCATTATGGACTCGAAATTCGCGCTGTGTGGATCAGTGACATGTTCCGGTTTGTGGATTTGTATTATTTACGACGCGGATTCCATCATCCTGTTGGTAATGACGAAGATGGCTTTTGATAATGAATAATCCCGCGGTGGACACGGAATATATGAAGATGATGCGTGACACCATCAAGAATTATCAAAACTTTAGCTTAGATTGTGTTAGCCGCATTTCCCTTTGGTTCGTGAACTTGATGCAGTGTATTATGCGAAGCAGGATCCACTAACCGAAGCAATAGAATTAATCGCCGAAAGATCCTATTCGATCGTGAGTGGCGTTATTTTATGCAATGCCACGGTGTTTTTGTTTTGGCTTGACAATATTGAAATGTATGTTTGTCCTTCGGACGAGTGAAAATTGCTTTTTCTTGTCCTTTTTTGGAAGAGAGGAACTGGTTTTTTTTTATTGTTGTTCACTTCAACCCCCGGTCGGATTTCAAATGGCCGCGACAGTGTGACTCTCCTAAGTAACCAGTCGCTGAAACGTTACATTCTTCAGCAATATCCTGTGAGTTATTATCTCATTTAGTAAGTTTGCATTTTTGCGTGTTTTGCGAAAGAAATATTTTCCGAAGTCCGTATCGAACGGAAAAGGCCGCAACCGTTATTTTGACAGCCATTTTCGAGAGAATGATCGAGCTCCGCTGTAAATTGATTCTTTCCCATTGGTGGAATAGAAAAATGTGGCCAATATTTGAATAATGTCGAGGAATTCATTTTCAGCTTTATCTTTTCTTCATCTGCTGTTGAAAGTCGGAGAAATTGGCTTATATTGCTCGTCATTAAAATCCAAGGTCGTGATAACTGAATTTTAGCGATATTTGAGGCGAAGAAATCGCGCGTTTTATTGCCGAGATGTAGGTCCATCGAGGATATCGATTGTTGGCCGCAGGAAAATGTTAGCATGAAATTTGCTTAAAAAAAAACATTAAATGTGGCATTCGAGTGACGAAACCTTGTTCGTCTGCTAAAATTGGCTGAACTTCTTGTGTGTGAAAGACCACTGGACCTCTATCTTGCTTTTTATTCCAGTGGAAAGTGACGGCATTGGTTAATTTTGTGCAGAAACCCCCCACCCCAGTGAAGGAAGATGGCGTCGACAGCGTCAGCCATTTCCCCGTCGATTTTCGGCCATCTCGCAGCAGCAGCGGTGTCCTCAGCTGCTGCCATGTCTGGCAATCCTTTCGTAGGGGGTGCCAATTCACCCCTGATGTTCCTGCCAACTAGTGCCACTGCTTCTGTGGTGTCTTCCAGGTGAGTAAACCAATTTTAATCTTTTAATTGAGGTCCTACACCATTTCAAATCGGCTTTGCGTGGAGTGTCCTGGAAACTAAGCAAAATGAGTTCTAACTAATAATTGATGGTTTGTTGGGATTTGAAAGGATGTTCAAGTGATGTACAGTAATTTGCAAGTGTTTTTTCAGCTTGTTTGAATACTGTCACAAGGCTCACAACTGTGTTGTAAATGTGTGATTTGCAGTTCAGTACTTGAAAAGGTGGTGGCACAGCTGCGCAGAAGTGTACTCCAAGTACTTCACATGTCATTCTCAACTTTGAGAAGCTGGATTTTTCATTTTTTGAGTTGCCTGAGTTGAGAATGAGGTGTGAAGTACCTGGAAAGTAGTGGAAGTGATTTTCCAAAGTACTCTTCCAATCATACCAAACTGGAAGGACTATTGGCAGTGGTCTGACTTTTTTATGTATTGGTTTGTCTGTTGCTAGCTTGGCAGATGCTCCTCCATCACCACCTGACCTTCTGCACCACCAGCCACAAATGTTGCCACTGGACTGGTCCTTTAAAGTCAAACGGGAAAGGGCACAGTCACCAAATGGTAGTGCATTAGGTGGCAAACGTCTCAAGAGAGAAGTGGTCAGTCCTGCAGGTGTTGGCCTGAACAACTCTCTATCATCCCCACTACCCACTTCCACTGTGGTTGATGGTGACCACACTGCTTCATCCTCATCTCCTGGCCTGACTAACTTGGCAGGTGGTGCCAGTGGTGCAGGTGATGTTGCTGACAGGAGACTCAGTCTCCCAGTGGAGATTTGCATTGTCTGTGGTGACAGGGCTTCTGGTGAGTACAGTACCTTCTTTTTATTTTTTTTATTTTTTGCAATACTGTGGTACAGTACTACCTCTGGTGTTTCATGTGGTCTCTTCTTTCCTGGAGGGTGGGTTGGTATGGGTGCACAAGGGTGTCTTCATGTGAGGGAAAATTGAATTCTACAGATGTAATGCTTCCAAATTTGCTCATTTTGAGTGGTGTGAGGGTTCTCATTGGGTCACCATATCCATGTCTTGTGGTTTCACTGCTGACATGATATTCAGAGAAAGCTCCATGGATATCTTCACTTACTTGAGTGATTGTGTAAATCTGTATATCATAATTCTTTGTGCAGTAGTAGTGACTTGTATTCAGGGGCTGAAAGGTTCCTTCTTTTCATGGTGCTCTGTTTTATCTTGAAGAGATGCATCTTATATGTGCTTGAAGTTTTAGTGACTGAAATTTTCACTAGTGTCTCCCATGTATGGTTTTACTGATTACATGAGGATTCCTTTAGATTTTCTCTGAAGTAAAATTCTGAGTAATATCTGTGGGCTAAATTTTGATGGAAGATTCCCCCTTTTTTCAGGGGAATCACATGAGTTGAGATGAATCTTAATGGAGTATTTGTTCCTTCATGTCATAAAAAGTGAGGCTCACAGAGATGAATCTTACACAGTACCTACTTAGTGGTTTAGTGATGGCTTTCCACTGCTGCAAGGGAAGCCCCTCCAGCTTTTCACCATTAAACCCTGTGATTTCTCCACCTGAAGGGGTGCAGGAGGAAGTGGTGCACAAAGAAGGTTCCCTTTTCCCATCATATATAAAGTATTCCAGGAAAAGCCCTTGACCTTCAGCTAGGTGGTCAAAAAGCTATCCCAAGAGGAGTGTTTCATCCTGAAGTCTCGTGTGTAGGCTGAGAAAAACAGTCATGTCCGCTTCGGTTTCTGACCCATGGTTGAAGGAAGGAAGAAAAAAATGAGAAGATGACGGAACTCGTTCACTATATTAGAGAAACTGAAGGCGGAAGCCAACTTTTTTTCTCCACACCAACAGTATTTTTTTTTTTTTAATATTTTGAATAGCCGTGAACTCGTCCGACCTCGGTCATGGCTTCTCTCTCTCGTCCCGGGACTCGGGTCATTATCAAATAACGGTTTCCCCCCTCGGCGTTTATATTCATATACAATCATTTCTTCCTTCTTTGGTGTGTGTGTGTGTGTGTAATTCTGTCTCTCACGTCCTTCTCGTTTTGTGTGTGTGTGTGTGAGAGAGAGAGATTTTTTTTTATTGGAGAATTATTGCAGTTGTGCGTGTTCCGCGTTTTCCAACTTCCTTGTCCTGTCCTGACCTGGGGCCTCACTGGCAACCCGAGGAAGACGTGGGGGGCACTCGGAATTAGTTTCTTCTATGCATGCTTTCATCTGCAACGCTTCCTAATCGAGCAGGTTTTTTGAAAGTGTTTTTAAATATGGAGGTTACTACATTTTTTAACCCTGATGGATGTTTCTCTCAACTTGTGAGTCATTATTGGGTATTTTCTGTGATTGAACAGAAATTTAGTCCAATGAAGAAAGACTCCAATGCTTTAAACTGAGACCTAAATTTTAAATTCCATGATCCAGAAAATGTGTGCAATATTATTTTGATGATGCTTTTCATGAAGGATTTTATAGCTTCCTGCAGGGAATATATCCAATAATGGTTAACTTTTGTCATAATTATGTCAAGAAATTATTTCAGTCTATTAATCTTCACAAATCAGATCATAATCTTTGACAATTTCTGTCACATTATTTTGGAGTCTCTTCAAGTTTGACTGGGTTCAGTTGTAGAAATATTTATTCAGTGGCATGGGCTTCAGAATTTCTTCTGAAGAAAATTGATGATGTATTGTTCTTTTCAATTGAGCCAGAAAATCATTTCAATTGATTAACCCACACAGTATTCTTGGAAACTTTTAAGTTGCATTCTTGGGAGTATCTTCAAGTTTGACTTGAAGAGGGTCAACTGTAAACCTTTTTATTCAGTGGCTTGATTTTAGAGATTGCTTCTGAAGAAAATTGATGATGAGTGTTGTTTGAATTATGTCAGAGAATCATTTCAATTGATGAACCCTTACAAATCAGGTCATATGCCTAAAGGTCCTAGTCACATTTGTTTGACTTACAGAGGTTCAACTATTCACAATTTCATTCAATGGCTTGATTTTAGGAATTGCCTCTGAAGAAAATTGATGATCAATTGTTCCATCAATTATATCAGAAAACCAACTCACACATCAGGTTATATTTTTTAATTCCCTCAGTCAAAATTTGTTGCACTCTCTTCAAGTTTGACTTTGTTCAACTGTCTTTATATTTATTTTTCAGTGACTTGATTTCAGAAATTTGTTTTTTAAGAAAATTAATCCCCCATCCCAACCTCAAAAATGATTTAGGTTCCAGTGTGGTTCACCTTCTCTCAAAAATGTTCACATCTTCTCTTCCCTCATGTGTGTGTGTGTTGTGTGGGAAGGCCGCCAGTAATGGGAAGTGACCCCAGGCGCCCGGTGGAAAGTCCTTGAGAGCGTTTGTTGGCTTCTGTCCTTAGCAGTCCCCCCCCCCCCCCCTCCAGGTCATGTCTGGTTTTCTACCGGTTTCTTCCCCTGCCCCAGGCTGAAACACGCGTTTGTTATTATCAACTTTTATTTTGTTCGAAAGATGCAAATTCATATTTTCTTCTGGTGTCGCTCTGTGTAGACAGTAATTACAATTTTATGCAAGAGTGAAATTTTTTTTGAGGTGGGAAGAAGGTAAAAAATTTTTAATGCGCACTTCCTTGATGGATTTTCTGTGCGGTTGAGTACCTGGGGTAACTGTGGTAGAAAGTGAATTATGTTTTTCTTCCCATTCCTGATTGCTCAATGTGTTCGTGGAGAAGATGTTGCAAGGGCTTTGGGTGATCTATTAGAAAGGCCTGGGATGTTTTTTTTTTTTTTTTACAGTTGAACCTCTCTAATTTTAATTTGAAGAGATTCCAGAGTGGGGTTGAGATGAAGAATATCACCTGATTTGGAAAGGATAGTCAGTTAAAAAAAATTTCTGGAATAATTATTCAAAGTGTTCTCTATCTTCCTACCTGCTGGAAGGTATCAAAGTCCTTGTGGAAAACAGTAAAACAAAATGTGCATGTATTTTGGGAGTATTGGTTTATGAAGGCTAACAGTTCTGGAGAATTCAAATGTGGAAGACAAATTTTGAGTTAGGGAGGTTTAAAATGCAGTGGAATTTTGAATTACAAATAGTGTAAATCTTCAAGTCTGGATATGAGTGAAGCCTTGGTATGTAAGTTTCAACTCTTGCACAGTTTCACTTTTGTATGTGAGGCATGGCTTACTTCAATGGGGTTTGGGTTATGTTTCATTGATTTCCTGAAAAAGTTATTCCTTTTTCATTACTTTATGATGCATTTGGAAAACTAGGGTCACCTCCAAATGAGATCTTGGTATTTCTCTCTTCATGAAATTCCATCAAGTAAAAATGTTGGTCAAAAGTGTACAATTCATAATTTGATTCTATTGACATTTTTATGCCTGGGGGGGGGGGGGGTTGTTCAGGTGTCTGATGCAAGAAAGCCTTGACCTGGGGAGCATGAAGAGAGTGGGGGGAATCATTTTGCTCCACCCTGACTTTCACTTCCTCCCTCCTGGTGTGTTCCCTTGTAATTAATGGCAGGTCAGTTGTGCTGCTCTCTTCCATGTGGGGGGGGGGGGAAGGAGGGTTTTTCAGGGGCCCCTGTTGACACCAGGCTGGGGAGGAGGAGATGAAGAAGAAGAAGAAGCAAGCAATTGGGGCAGGAAGAAAACCTAGCTTCAGGGAGGGGAGAAGAGAGGAAATGGCTTTTCCCCCCTCAAATGCTCTGGTTTCCCCTGTATATCCAGGGGGCTCAGGAATACTGAAGGGAGAAGTGAGGGCTACTCTCAGGCCCTCTTCCCACTATGCTTGTCTTTTTTTTTCAAATCAAAATGTAGTGGGATTAATACTTTTTTTACCAGGTAACATTATCTGGAAATGTAGTCTGTATTCCCCTTATAATTTGGATGCATACATTTCCTCAACAGTGCATTTGAATCAAGCCACACTCAAGATCAAGTGCTTCTGTACTTGGCATTTGGTTCCTTTAGATTTGGAAGTCTGGTTTTCCTTTGAATGCAAATGCGCTTCAGGCCTCATTTGAAATTAGTAAAATTTCAGTGAGTAAGAGATTCACTTGTCTTTCTTGCCCTAACAGTGGAGTCTGATGCCTCTCCAAGTCAAATCTGGATGAACTCCAGATATTCTCCTTGGTGAGTTCTTGTGGCAGAGAATGTGACTTCATTTATTCAGGTTAATGAATATTAACTATTTTCTGGTCCCATGAGTAGAATTGATCATTACTCTAAGATGTCCTATCCTCATGAAAATGCCTAATTTCTTGTGGAGAGGGAAGAAAATAATTTGCCCTACTGTTTTTTTTTCTTCATATTTTGTTGAAGAGGGTTTTTAAAACTCAGCACCAATTTCAGCAGTAAAAAGGAGCCTCAGTGTTCAGTTAAAAAAAAAGGTTTGACCCAACACATTTTGAGTTTGCTTTGGACCTCAGGGACTTGAAACTGGAATTTTTAATTATAGGATGGCTTTTCAAACTTGGCATGGTCCAACAGCTGTATAAAACAAATTGGCCATTTTACATTATTACTGTGTATGAAATCCCATGTTGTATTCCTCATTGTTTTGAGATGTCATCAGCTTGAACCAATTGACAAGGATAGTGTGCTGCCTGTCTTAAGATCCTTCCTTTTACACATTTCTTTCCCTTCTGCAGGGTGAGTGAGGAGGGAAAAGAAGGTTGGTATCCGGTCTGAGAGGGGGGGGGGGAAGATGCTGGTTGATGCGTGTCAACGTTTTCTTGCGAAACCAGGGCGGAAAAGAAAAACCTTTCTTCTTGTATGTCCCCCCCCCCCCCTGGGGTGTCCAACTGCCTTTTCCCCCTCCTTGTGACCGTTGGCGACCTTTAAACCTCCCCCAACTCCTCCTCCCCCACCACCACCAGCACCACTACTACCCTCTTGTCTGGGAAATGGACTCTCCCTTTTCGCCTTTGTCTTCTCCCTCTCTCTCTTTTTGTCTTTGGTGGGTACTCTTGGTTCAAGTAGATTCTGAGACTCTTGAAGTACTGCACTTTACATGGCTGCTCCCAGGGTGGAGTATAATTTTAAATAACCTCTGAAGTTCTCCCAAGATTGTTGGTGATGGAAAGTATTTTCATTTGACATTTTGTCAGTTCACCTGGCTACTTTACCTTTTGGGGTTTTTGAGAAGCTGGAACTGTAGTCAGACTGAGTTTAGTTTTTAGGAATTTAAATTTGCTCACAACAAAAGATTTCAGGTTGCAGATTTCATGAGCTTTATTCAATACTGTATTAGATGATGCAAGGGATGTTTCTGTTTTGACAAGTGTCAGAGGTTGATGATATTGATCAAATGAAGATTGGTAACAATGTCTATGTGTGTATTGATTTGATGCATTTCTGGAATCTTGGAAGACTTTGTAATGTCATCTATTGCTTTGCCCTGTAGCTTTCAGTAGTCAAGGAGTCATGAAATGTGCCAAAAGTAGGGATAGTCTCAGGAAATGTCTTTTGTACTGTATCTAAATTTCAAAGGTTTGGTGACATCTTTTGGATTTTATACTACAGTACTGTATAAGCAATGCAGGGATCATAATTCTTTCTGTATGATGAAGGTCAGAAGGTTGTTAGAATCTTCTGATGTTTGACTCAACAGTGGTTTCTGGAAACAGAAGGTCATTAAATTATTAATCCATTACTTGCTATGGTGAGTTTTCATGATTGTTCTGAGATGATTCATCCTTCTTCAATGGGTCTGCCCCATGTACTCTGACCTATGATTGACCCATGAGGGTTCAAGTCACTTGAAATTTGATGAGGGAGTGTACTCTCCTGTACACAAATTTCTGCAAACTGAAAATTGCTCTGCTTGTCAAGTGTTGATGGATCTTCTTGAAAGTGACTTAATTTCTTTGCCAAAACTGACCTCAATGTTCTCTGTTACAATTTTAAGTTGTTGACCATTGTATCAACCAATAATCTGTCCTTGGGAGTGTTCATGGAGTTTTATTGAAAATGATTCATCATATCTTCCCAGAGCCTGCCAACATGTTCTTCTGACCTCTGAAAACTCTTGGTTGACCCATGAGGATTATTTTTTCCCTGTTCAATAAGTTCCTTGGAAATTGTTCTTGGTATGAATCAGGTCTCTTCCAAGTGGAAACTCTCCTGTGGGCAAATCCAATCCTGTGTTGATCCCCCCCTTTTAGTTGGTTCCCTGGAAGCCCAGCCGACCCTAACCTCTTTCCTAG